GGGGGGTCCCAAGAACAGAGGCAATCTGGGGTGGGGATGTCGGGGCCAGGTGGGGGGGCGGGGAGGCAGGCGTTGGACGGTTTTGGGAGAGAAATCGTGGGGTGGGGGGTCGCAAGAACCAGAGGCAATCTGGGGTGGGGATGTCGGGGCCAGGTGGAAGGCGGGGAGAAGGGCGTTGGACGGTTTTGAAAGGAGGCAATCTGGGTTGGGGACGTCGAGGCCAGGTGGGGGGCGGGGAGAGGAGCCTTGGACGTTTTTGGGAGAGGAATCGTGGAGTGGGGGGTCCCAAGAACCAGAGCAATCTGGGGTGGGGATGTCGGGGCCAGGTGGGGGGCGGGGAGAAGGGCGTTGGACGTTTTTGAAAGAGGAATCGTCGGGTGGGGAGTCCCAAGAACAGAGGCAATCTGGGGTGGGGATGTCGGGGCCAGGTGGGGGGCGGGGAGGGGAATGTTGGCGGTTTTGGGAGAAGAATCGTGGTGTCGGAGCCAGGTGGCAGTTTCGGGCGAGAAATGGTCGGGTGTAGTATCCAGCCCAGAAGGATATCGCACACGCCTCTGGGGTCGGCGGATATCCCAAATGCCCGCTACCCGCCCTCGTCGTCTTCAACCGTACTCCCTTGGGGTGATATCTTTCTTACCTGCCACGTGTATTAGTGCAGCCCTTAGAACGCGGGAAGAGAGGACGGGTGGAAGGGTGAGGGAGAAGGATGGAACACGAGAGAAATTGGCAGGATGGGGGCAAGGAGCAGAAAACAATTGGTAGAACCAGACGGGCAGATCGGGTGGGCAGACCCATAGCGGGCGGATCGGGAAGGCGGGCTCAAGCGACCAGGTCGAGCAGGCGGGTTCTTGAAGCGTGGGTCATGCATGAGTTGCGAGGAGGTCTCGAGCGATAGAGTGATTTCTAAGTGAATCGCGAGAAAGGCCAAAGCGAGAGCGTGATTCCTGAGCGCCGAGGGCGCATCCTCTTGAATAAAAGCGGGGGCCAGCAACACAATTCTGAGATTCAAGACCTCCCCTGATTAAAAAATAGGGAGCGAGCCCCTGGAAGGGCACTTCAATTGAAAAAGCACCATGTGCCCTGGAGGGGGGATCAACAATGTAAAACATGAGCATACGGCAACAACGACAACAACAACAACAACAGCAACAGCAACAGCAACAGCAACAACAGCAACAACAACAATCCGCACCGCAGAACCTCACTTCAGCCACGCGCCCAGGGACAGTGATTGACCGCTCGACTCCCACACACTGAATGTTACACGGGCTCCCGGTGCCAGGCCTGTCAGCACCCAAGACCCGCTTAGCACATCAAAAGCAAGACTGTTCACGCACACACACACACACACACACACACACGTGACCCCTTGTCCTCACACCCGGCCAGCACGCCAATCGCCCCCCTCGCTGCCTGCTCCATTGCGCCCTCGCTTCCCGCCCGCCCGCCTCGGGGATGCGGCGCGCCAGTTCTGGTCCTGGCGGGGCCCGCGCTTGCGCCGCACCGCGCGGAGGTCCAGCACGGTCGTGCGGCGCGTGTTGTACCACGGGTTCTTGCGAAATAAGGAGAGACCAGGCAGGCCTACATCGGGTGATGCTCGAAGCACCCCTAGCCCAAGGTACCCCCCCGACATCTAGGGAGGCCCCCACGGCCTCCAGGGAACCCCTCACGAGGCCCAGGGGGCCCCAGGGGCGTCAAAATGGATCGAAGAGCTGGGAGCACGTTGGGCCAGGGGCCCCTTGAGCAACCCCTGACCCTATCAGTCGCGCGCAGAAAGGGGGGCGGCGGGAGGGGGGATGGCTTCTTAGAAGAACCCCCCCTCATCAGAAGGCGCGGGCGCACCTTCTGAGGTTCTCAGATGTTCTAGCTACAGTGCCGTTTTTTATACATGCTCCGCGTGCAGATCATGTATTAAAAATGCGGGGATTTAGTACTAAAAGCAACGATGAGTTCATGCATAAATTTATTCATAAATTAGTCATGCATTAAAATCCAATTTTTATATAAATAACTATTAAACATTGCCCTGTAGTGGGGCCACCGTCGCCCTGGCCCCAGCGGGCCCCACGTGGCGGCGGCCCCTGGCCAAAGTCGCCTCGCCCCCCTCTCTCTGGCCGAGGGCGCGCGAGCGCCTCCGTGCACGGGCGGGGGCTGGGAGCGAAAGAAGGACGCCCGAGTGCACGAGCCCACGCCGATTTCGAAAGTGTGCACTGCGCGAATTCTCGTACTGTCGGACTTGATTGGAGAGGACACGCGAGAGGACAAAAGACCCTTTCCGAGGGGCACACTGCCATGGGAATGTAGGAGGCATGGGTCGCGAGACGCAGGACACAAGGGTACCCTTGACTTGGCAGGGTCGATCTACTAATCCGGGCCGACTGTAGCACGAGGCTGGCCTGGCGGACGGCGGGGGTGAGTGTTCGCGTGCGTGGCTGGGCGCCTGCGTCGTTCGGTGCGCTGAGGATGGGGCGGCGGGGGGGGCGCGTTCAGGCGCCGTCGGGCCGCTGTTCCTGGGGGCGCTCTTCTTCGCCCAGGAGACCTCGCTGCGCGAGGGGGAGGAGGAGAGGGAGGAGGAGGAGTGGAGGAGAGAGTGGAGAAGGAGGAGGAGGAGGAGGAGGAGGAGGAGGAGGGGGTGGGGCAGAGGGGCGGGCTTTTTTCGGAAGGGTCTGAAGCCTCTGGCCTTCTGAGAAGTTTTATGAGTTCCCTCTGAAGACAGACGGCTTCTCAGAAGGCCAGAAGGTTTTGAGAAGCCCCACCGCTTTCTGATTCCTCTAGCTCCCCCTTTGGGCGCGCCGACGAAGAAGGCCCAGACATGCTCGCGTCGTGAGAAAGTCACGACGGAAGGTTAAGACAGCATTCTACTTCCAGGGGAAGAATTGGGTCGGGGCTTCTGGGGGACTCAAAACAGGCACCGGTTACCCGGGAGAGTATCAACATGGATCCACGACGCATAGCCTTTGCGAGCAGGTCAACGTGATAGTCTTCCGTTTCTGTCCGAAGGCATAGTGCTTCTTGTTTCGTCCACAGCAACACATTGATTGGTTTTCAACGGCGGCGTTGCATTGGTAACCGCGAAGGGTTTTTTATGTTGAGGACCCCCCCTAACGGGGGGGAATACTTAGTTTCCAAGCATTGTCGGGTTCCCAATCCGCGAATAAGCCCGCGGAAAAAAAAATAGTGCCCCAGCCCGATCATTACCCGGGGAGTCCTTAAAGACCCTTCGGGGTTGTCTTGCTCCCCAGCGATCCGCCCTCCTACGCGGTCGCTCGTTCCACCCCTCTCTCCTTCCCCGCCCCCAGACCTCCCGCGAGCACATCACGGGGGCCCTCTCTGGGCCCCCGGCGACCCTCGCGGGGCCGTCGAGAGACGAGCTATAAAAAACGGTCCTGGGGAGGCTCTAGGGTATAGGCCTCTGGGGGCCCCCGTGGCAGGAAGAAAATACCACAAATCGTCGGAGGCATGGTTCGCCCCGTCCCTTTACGCCGCTCCCCCTTTCCCCTCGCCGCCCCCCGCCCCAGGGTTCATTTCGATCTGGTCGATCCCGATTTTATGTCGACCCTGGCCGCCCGGATCCGCTTCGATTCCGATGATCCGACGACCCGATCCAGCCCGATGCTCGCGTGGCGTTGTTGTGCACAATCCTGGCGCCGCCGATCCGATTCGATGCTGACACCGTAGCTATGCGGCCCGATCCGACCCCCGATCCGGTTCGATTCCGATGATCCGACGACCCGATCCAGCCCGATGCTCGCGTGGCGTTGTTGTGCACAATCCTGGCGCGGCCGATCCCATTCGATGCTGACACCGTAGCCATGAGGCCCGATCCGACGCACGTTCCGATTCGATTCCGATGATCCGACGATCCGATCCAGCCCGATGCTCGCGTGGCGTTGTTACGTGGCATCGTGCGTGTGCTGGGCCCCATCTGACGCACGTCCCGATGCGATCCGATGTCCCGATTCGATGCTGATTGGTTCTGCCTTCCCTGTTCTCGGGGGCGGGAAAGGGGGGATGGTGACTAGGGGGAGGAATATCATGGCGGGGGCCATGATATTTCCCCACATTCCATGGCGCCTCTTCTTATTTCATGACGTCCTTGCCCCCCCCCTGGGCCGCGCACATGCCGCCGGCCATGATTTGCGCCCCCCCTTCTTGGACGCCCCCCTCTTGGCCGCCCCAGACTTTCTTCAGGGCCAACGTCACATAAGGAGGGAAGGTACCAAGGGGGACGCATCGACCCCCACGCGCCCAGTAATCGCCGATGGGCGCCCGATGGCCCGCCCCGTCCAGGAGCGTGCGACTTCGCCGTCGGGGGCCTATCGCCGATCCATCGGCGATGTATCGCCGATTCCGGCTCGATGTTTCATCCCCTGAGTCGTTCTTGTTTTGATTAACGTTCCCCTTCACTCCATCCCGCCGCCCCTCACCCAGTTCTTTGCCTTTCCTGGCCACCTCTCCCAGATGTGGAGGTCTTGGAGGATCCCAGAAACCTCCTTGGGCGTCGCGAACAGAAGGCCCCGGCGGACGCTTTTGTCCCAATTCCAGTCATCTGGAGGTCGCATTCCGAAACCAGGGGCCATCTAAGGATTGCCCGCGGCGGAAGAGCATCAGGTTTGGGGGGTGGGTCGGGGGCTCTGCGGGAGACCATGTTGCGAAAAGGGACAGCGAAAACGATGTGGAGGTCTGCGTGCGTCAAGAATCCTCGGACGATTTCGTCAACATGGCTCGAAGAACTGCTCAGAATGGTGCCCGGGAGGAATCGGGGAATCCTTTTTTAGTTGATTGTCGCCCTCGCCCTTGCTCCGGGGGGCGAGGAGGAGGATGCTTTTCTTCGTTTCTTGGCCTTCTGGGGGGCCCTCATCGCCACGGATGCATTCGTCCCGAAATCATTGTGATAATGCGTTCAAGGAACGGTCTGTGGGTGGACTTCGAGGGCTAAGTACTGAGATCCAGGCGTCGCGGAAAACAACAACAACAACAACAACAACAACAACAACAACAACAACAACAGCAACAGCAACAGCAACAGCAACAACAACAACAGCAACTTTTTTTGTTTGTGAGAAGCCACACCACAACGAACGCCCGGCTGTAGCCCGGGGCCTCGGCCAGATTGCACCGGTGCTATCGCGAGGATTTCAAAAATTGTGCGCGCTGGCGGCGCATTCGCGCAAACGCCGGGAAGGAGAGAAGGGGAAGGGACGAGAAAAGCAGGAGAAGGAGGGAGAGGAGGGAGAAAGCCGCAGAACTAGGGCAGGAAACGAAAAAGGCGGGCGCAAGCGCCCAGAGATAATCCAACACAGTTTTGTTGAACTGTGCAGAACCATGTTCTGTGAATTCACGCACAAGAAGCCCGAAAACAAGGCGCCCGGAGGCCCCCCAAAGTGGCCAGCAGGAGGCCCGACGGCATCCTCGCCCAAAGTTAAAGACGCACGACCCCAATCTGTACGACACGGGCGGGTGGACTGCGAAGCAAAACTGGGGTCCGCCCCACTTTGGGGTTTGGACCCAGCGTGCTCCGGAGGGGCGTTTCCGGAGCACGCTGGCGTACAAAGGAAGAGAAGGAGGAGGAGGAGGAGGAAGAGGAGGAAGGAGGAGGAGCGGTGGCGGGGCGTTTTCTGAAGTCACATAGCTCGCGGCGGTGCTCACTCAGCCGCCAGCCCGGGCCTCGGCGCAGGCGCCGCCGGCCCGCCGTCGGCCGCCGAGGTGGCGTCGGCTCCTGGGAGCTCGCGCCATACGCCGGCTCCAGGCTCGGCGGTTGCCTCGACGTGCCGCGCCGTTGCGGCCAGGCTCATTCGCGCACCCCGCCGGGCCAGAGCCGCGCCGATCCGCTCCCGCAGCGCCCGCTCCATGGCGCGAGCGGTGCCCCCGCGGCGCCGCGCGGCGGCGCGGGCAATCGCCAGCATGGCCGCCGCCGCCTGCGGGTGCGGGCGCCCGTGGTTCGTCCACACCACGGGGGTGTAGACGATGCCGAGCTCCTCGAGCTCGCCGCGCAGCAACAATCATCTTAAGACTGCTCGGTCTTATCTGCTCGCGTGTCATTCAATATGCATATCCCAAACCCTGGATACCCGCCCTCTTCGTCTTCGATCGAACCCTTTCTTGGGGGGGTATATTCATTCCCTGCCACGAAGGGCAGCAACGGGGCCACGAAGGGCAGCGAGCGAAGGCGACCGCGGAACCAGTACGGGTAGCGAGGGGCATCGAAGGCGGGCGAAGGGCAACGAGCGGCGACTGCAGTCCCTAACGGGCTGGTCGGGCGGGCAGGCCCAGACGGGCGGGTCGAGCGGGCGGGTCGTTGAAGTGCAAATTCTGTTTCAACCGCCAGACAATATCTAGCGGGAGCGAGATATACATGTAACGGCGCACCGGGTCCGGGGGCCCGGGGCCGGGACCCCGACCACAAATGTGGGCCCCGGGGGGCCCGGAGACTCGTCGGGGCTTGCCGGAGGCCTCCCCAGTCAGACAAGACGGCCCAAGAAGCGCCCAAGACGGCCCAAGAAACTTCCAAGAGGCCTCCAAGAGGGCTCCAAGATACTGAAGATGGCCTCCAGACGTCCAAGGACGCCCCCAAGACGCCCCAAGAAGCCTCCAACATGCGTCCCAAGAGGGCCCCTAGACGCACACATTGGCCCATTCCCTTCGTAAAACGTACATTTTTCACAAAGTTGCTTTTTGGGCTTTCCGACGTTACAGGACGGCCCACGAGGCGCCCAAGACCGCCCCAAGACGGCCCAAGAAGCTTCCAAGAGGGCCCAAGGACAGCCCAAGAGGGCCCCAAGACGGCCCAAGAGGCGCCCAAGATGGCCCAAGAGGGCCCCAAGACGGACCCAAGAGGGGGCCCAGAGGGGGACCACGAACCGCAAGCTCGAGCCTTCCGCCCCAAGAGGCCGCCAGGAGGCCCCAAGGAGGCCCCTCAAGAGGCCCCAGGAGACCCCCAAGAGGCCCAAAGGAGGCCCCGAGAAGCCCCAAATCGGCCCCCAAGATGTTTCGAACCTGCTTCCAGGAGGCCCCCGACAGGTTCAGAGGCTCCCGAGAAGCTACGTCAAACTCCCAGCGAGAATGATCCTAGCTAGAACTTAAGCGCGCGCGCGAAGCGCGCGCGTGGTTCTAGTTCCTGAGTGTCGAGGAACGGCATCTGGATACATTGAGTGGAAGTATCAGGCGGGAGCCGCGATTCGGTGGTAAGTTGCGAGGAAGTCCCAAGCGAGAGCGCGATTCTTCAATAAACTGTAAGGAAGTATGAAGCGGGAGCCGCGATCTGGTGGTAAGTTGCAAGGAAGACCTAAGCGAGAGTGCGATTCTTCAATTAACTGCACGAAAGTATCAGGCGGGAGCCGTTATTGTTGTAAACGGGGGGCCAACGACATAGTTTGACCTTCAAGACCTTCCCTGACTATGCGAGCCAAGGGCACTTCAATCGAAAAAACAATGTGCACCGGACGGGGGGGGCAACAACAATTATTCTTCAGAAGTGAGAGTTCAACAACAACAACAACAAGAACAATAACAATAACAAGAACAACAAGAAGAACAGCAACA